GTATAAGCATAATTTACAGTTCACAAGGACTACCAGCCTTGAAATTATGACTCTTGACCAAATTTTTATTTGGGGAACTCAGTTCCGTTTCCCATTTTGTGCATAAACAAACTCCAAACTCACTACCATTGAGTCAGTTCCAACTCATAGCAACCCCCATTGGGTTTCCAAGGCTGTAAATCTTTACAGAAGCAGACCACCTTATCTTTCTTCTGCAGAGCGGCTGGTGGGTTCGAACCACCAACCTTTTGGTTAGCAACCAAATGCCTTAACCTCGACACCATCAGAGCTTCTTTGTGCATAAAGTGAAACTTTATTAATTTTGAATAAAGCTCAATGTCTTATTCTTATATTTCAAACTCATATAAAATGTGACTGCACTGTGCCCTTCCAGGAAGCTCTGGCGTGCTCTCAACTTCCTCCCCAGCTAGACCAAAGTATTCAGGTCAGGCTAGTAACAGGCAGAGTTTTGACCCTGGAAAGGAAGAATCTTGACAGCTTAGGATCTTTTCTTCTGGATGATACCATCTTAGTACAACTCCAGGGCTCCTTCCTCTCCCCATGATTCTGCTCCCTGAATTCTTCTGGGGCCTCTTCCTTTTTTTCTCCTCCTCTCTTGCCCTCAGAGAACCTTAATTTACTACTTCTGGAGCCTCTCTCAATCTTTAACAGAAAAACAGGTATTTTAGGGTAATAGGTGGAGTTGGCGGGAGCTCTGGTAGCGTAGTGCCTAAGGCACTTGACTGCTAACCAGAAGGCTGGCGGTTCAAACCCACCAGCCACTCCTCGGAAGGAAGATGGGGCACTTCTGAGTGATACTGCCTCGGAAAGCCAAGGAGGGGTCGCTATGAGTCGGGTCCGACTCCACCGCGCTTAACAACAGGTGGAGTTGGCAGTGACAAGAATAACCACCAGAGGGAGCCTGTGCTCAAGAAGAGACTAAGTGGGGGGCCTACTTTCCAAGGAAGGAGCCCTGGTGGTGCAGAGGTTAAGCACTGGATTGTTAATGGAAAGGACTGCTGTGCAAATCCACTAGCCACTCCATGGGAGAAAGATGTGGCAGTCTGCTTCTGTAAAGATGACAGCCTTGGAAACCAGATGGGACAGTTCTACTCTGTTCTATAGGGTCACTATGAGTCAGAATCAACTCCGCAGCAAAGGCTTTGGTATTTGGTTTCTTTCCAAGGCAGTAAAGGTGTCAAGAATTCTAACCTAGAGTGGCTCCCTAAGGATTTGGAGTCCAGAGATGCCCCCTCCCCCCTCAACTATCTTTCTTTTTCTGACCAACCAGTTTGGTGTGAACCAAACCCTGGTGCGTTTGTAGAATGTACAACACTTCCTTAAGACAGGTTCTCTGATGGCCATATTCAACACTCATCAACCTCACCCACAATTTCCACTAACCTACGCCTTCTACTCCTGCCCTGAAACTTCACTGAGCCAGGCTTACTCACTCCTCACGTTCTGGTTTGGGAATCAGGGGGCCCTGGGTGCTGCCAGTTGTGTACATCCCTTCCAACCCCACTCCAGCCTCTGACTCAGAGGCTTCCCCATCCCTTCCACTGACCCAGGTGTCTGGTTCTTCCTCCAGACCCAATTGACCTATTCTCATCACATCGAGTCTGGGCCAACTAAATTGTGAGTTCTGGTTGTGGGAGAAAGGGAAGAAAGCCAGAAACCTCCTAAAACCTAGAGCCTGATTGCTTATTCTCACCAGTCCATTACTGCATCCACAGTAATAATTACTGGACTCAACACGAGCCTGGAGCTCTGGTAGTGTAGTGCCTAAGGCATTTGACTGCTAACCAGAAGGTTGGTGGTTCAAAGCCACCAGCCACTCTGCAGAAGGAAGACTGGGCAATCTACTTCCATAAAGATTTACTGCCTCGGAAACCCAAAGAGTGCCCCTATGAGTCAGAATTGACTCGATGGCAGTGAGTTTGGCTTTTTTTTTTTTTTACTATGAGTCTGGCAAAAATATAAATTACCGTGGTCTCTGTCTCAAAGAACTTGTAGCCTAGTTAGGGAGACAAACAAATAATTAGGCAATCACACATAATTTGATAAATGTTTTTTAGAGGTATGTACAAAAGAGCCGGGTGACTCAGAGTACAATATATTCTTCAAAGGGTGAGAGAAGAAAGAGAGGTAGGACCAGACATAAAGGAAGGGATGTGTTTGTTAGGAGTTTGGCCTTTATCCTGAATATTGAAGTAAGTGCTGAACTTGATCAGATCTGCTTGTTATAATACTCTGCCTAGGCACGGTTAGTTCTAAGGAGGCAGGGATACCAGTCAGGAAGCCACTGTTAGCAGTCCCAATAACAGGCCTGGCCTAAAGCAGAGACAAGGATATGGGAGGAGAGCAAGAGGGGTTCTTGGGCATTGGCCCACACTGGCTACCAGGTCCAATTCCCTGCAGGCCACATGCAGAGGAAGGGATGGGACTCTCACCTCTGTTTCTTGCAGCTTGGAATCTTGGGTCACTGTGGTCTTGTGGTCTAGTTGGGTCAGCAGGTGATCTGTGTTCAAACTGAATCCCAAGGTGAGGGAAGGGAAGTATAAAGCTGGGGCTGACAGGGGAAGGAATATGGGTGGGCAAGAGGGAGATGAAAAGGGGAGAATTGTATTCTCATGGTCATATAGGCAGGTAGGAGAACCTTAGGCTTTGCCTCCTCTCCCTTACCCAGAATGCATCCTGGTTTTGCTTAGGCTGCTGTGTGTTGCTCCTCCTGCCTCTGCCTAGCTTTATCTTTACCTTTAAGCTTTCCAGAGACTACTGCCACGTGAACCTGAGAGAGCTCCACAGGTGAGGCATACCTATGGACAATCTCAGACCCTCCTACCTCCTCTTGCATAGGGACCTTATACCTGGAACCTTAATTCACTGCTCAAAACCGTCAACCCCGAACTTCCTCCTTTATCCATGCCCCCAAGAGAAATTACCTCAGCTCCTGGGTTTTCTATTATCTCAGGTCCCAAAACACTGTCCAGAGACCAAGAACTCAAGACTCTCTTCCCAGGGACTTCTGGCCCTAGAACTCTCCTTATCAATCCAGTCTTGAAACTTGGGATTCCAAGACCTGTGACTCAGGAATACAACGTTGACACATCTCTCTGATACCCTCTTACATCCTCCACCAAAACCCAGTCCCAAAATGATATCTGCATCCCTGAGCTGTCCTTCAAAATCATGAGATATGACTTGGGGCTATGTGTACCTCACATTGGATGTGGGGGATGACCAAGGGCCAGAATAATCAAACACCCAGTCTGTAGGGCCAGGTAAAAGTTCCAATCTAAGCCCACTGCTTCCTCAGGGCCGCCAGGCTGGGTAGCCCTCACCTGGGGGCCTTACTACTGGGTGACCCTGAGAAATATTCCTGATCCTTACGATTCCAAGGAAAAATCTGGTTCCCTTCCCTTGCCTATGCTCTCAGATCCCACTGAGTACAATTCTTTCTTTAGTGTCCAGGAGGCCCAAGCTAAGTCTCACACTAAGAAACAATTCAGTAGCACCATGAACATGAAGCCAATTCCTGCTCCTATCCATCCTTAGCTTCTTGCTGACAAACCAGAATGGGCCCAGGCTGAACACCAGTCCCTTGCAGACTAAGAAGGAGCTAAGAGGGAGGCCAAGGGAACTGTTCATACTTAGTCTTGGGCTTCTGAGAGGACAGTACCTTAAGGGTTAGTTGCTAGAGTCTAGAGTTGGCAGACAGCCTGGGTTGAGGGCCAGGACTAGCCCCAAGAGTCATCACAAGCCCTAGATGATGGCAACATGGCATTCCCAGATTTCAGAGAGGCTGAGGAGCTATCCCAGGACTTGGCCATGCAGATGAGCTACCTCAGAACTTCCATGAGGGTGAGGAGCCAACACAAGCCTGAGAAGCAACGCTCCCACCTCTCAGAAGAGATAGAGGAACTGTCTCCAGTGCTGTCCTTAGAGTCTAAGGGGCCAACTAAAATCCACAGTGAGGATTAACAGAGTCCAAGCTGCAGGTCTCAGATGAAGACAAAGATGAGTGGCAGTCCTTACCTTGGCCTGGACAAATCTGAGGGACAGCTAGGATCCTGGATGATGCTATGAAGCAGCATCCAGGGTCCTACCCCAAACCCAAAACTAGGCTGATGGGCCAATTGGGTAGAAGTGGGCACAGTGCCCAGGCCTCTTCAGAGGTGGTCCTGTGGAATAAATCCAGATGAGCAGACATCGTGTGTAGATGCTCGTTTCTTGGCTTAGTCAGCAGGAATGTGGGGCTCTGTAGTCCTGTCGCCAGTGACTCTTATTATTAAATCAGAGAGCTCTGCAGGCAGCTCTCCTGTCTGTGGCAAATCTTCCCCTAATGCAGGGGCCGCTCCAGGAACACTGGGGGAGACAAGCATGGGACCAGGGTCCATTACAGTTCTTATTTAGGAACAAAAGAATTCTGGGAAAGGAAAGAAGCAGCTCTATAGAGTCCTGCCTCTTCACATGCTACCGAAGTTGCACTGAGCCAGGGATGAGAGGACTGAATTCAAGTCCAAGTAGGTAGGGGCTACTGGGCTGTACAGTGAAGTGGTTAAGATAGAATCTTGGGTTCAAATCCTAGAGCTGCTACTTTCTAGGTACTCACCTTGATCAAGTCCCTTGATCTTTCTAAACCTCTATTTCCTCACCTGTCAAATGGGGATAAAATTAGTATTTTTCCCATGGGTTTATTAGAAGCATTAAAGGATGGGTTATACAAAGATCAGTCTAGTGCCTGGCACATAGCAAATGCTCATAAATGAGCATTTACTTTTCATTATTGGAAGTGGTTGATCCAGATTCAACCACTCCCTCTATAAACCACAACCCTCTGAGACCCTTAAGTTGTTCCAAAACACACAAACTGTATATATTCAACATGTACATATTTTAAATTGCTCCCAGAGAAAGTATTGCACACATTGGTCCCACCCTGCCCCCCTCTAACTCTTAGGCATCCTTCCCTGATCATTGTGTCCTAGAAATGATTTTTAGCTTGGGTCAGTCACACGGAAGCCCTGTCCAGATGGTGCCCAGGCCTCCAGGCCTGGGTGGTCTGGTGTCTGGAGGTGGGTCATATGTCCCCGAGGTGGGGTGGGGGGTGGAGTGCCAGGGTCCCATAGAATGTCCTCATATAGGCTTAGAACTGGGCCCGAGGGCCGTCCTTGAGTCCCAGTGTGCTCCAGCAGGGCTCTGAGCAAGCCCACGGTCAGAGTGGGCTCTGCCCCAGGCTCAGGGAATGGGGTAGGGGCCCCCACCTCATCTGGCAGGTGTGTCTGCAACAGAAGCAGGAGCTCAGCTGGAGCCAGGTCTGGCGGGCACAGGCGGCAAAGGAGGGGGAAGTGGGTATCGAGTCGACGGTGTTGGGCAAATTCAGCCAGTAGCAGTTTGAAGATCTCACTTCGAACCAGGGGGCTGGAAGGGCCAAGGGCCAGGCCAGCCTCCAGAGCTCGCTCCCACTGTTCCTTCTGTACCAGCTGCTCCACAGCCTGGAGCACAGCCTTGGGCCGTCCACTGCTCAAGAGCAGCTCCAACTCCAGCGCCTCAGGTCTGGTCCCCTCCTCACCCAGCACAGTCAGAGCTCGGCGATACAGGGGCAGCCCTGGGCTCCCTGCTCCCCACCCTGGCCCACCCTGCTGTTGTGCCAGCTCCACAAACGGTGGCAGCCATCGTGGCTCCAGTCTGCATAGGTATTGGCATAGGAGTTCAAAGGGGGGCAATATCCCATTGGGGGGCTCCTTTCCAGCTGTTGTGCCCCCCAGCACCTTCTTCCACACATCAGGGGGAGCTTGGGACCTCAGCCTGCCATCCCTGTCTGGCTGAAGCTGCAGGGCCCTATGGGTGGCACCCCAGGCAGCTGTAGGAAGAGCTTGGAAAATGGTGTTAAGCTGGGCCAACTGGTCTCCCATCAACTCAGTCCTCAGCAGACGTGCCACTTCTTGCTCTGCCAGCTCAGTCCAGCTAGCCTCCTCATCATCCCCAGCCACCAGCTGGGCCTTGAGCCGCTCCAGGCTCCGGTAATCTCGCAGCTCAGCCTTCAGTGTGGTTAACAGTGTAGATGAGGACAGGTGGCCCTGGAGGACAGAGGCCAGGGCCTGAGGTGCCCGGAAGGTGCTGTTATGTCTCAGTTCCTCTGGGGTGAGCTGGGTGCCCCGCAGGCTCCGCCTCTGGTAGTACCCACAGGCCTCTTCAAACACCAGGTCCTCAGCTGAAGGCAGCACAAGGCCTTGTGGGGCTTCCCAGACCACTAGAAATAGACCCATGACTGAGAGCAAACGGAGACCCCCTCGGGCCTCCAACTCTTCCTTATCTTCCAGACCAGGGGCTAGAGGTTCCAGCAGATGCACTCGGTCTGTACTCAGGACCTTCCTCTCCAGCAGTTGCCCACTTCTCATGTCCATTAGTTCCAAGGTAGAGCCCAGCACACAGGCCAGGGTGCTGTGGAATGCTCCCAGTGTTGCAGACCCCTGTGGGCCTCCAGGTGCCTCATGCAGCGTTCCCACAACCCGGGTACCACCATGGGAGTGCACCAGGCTTATAGTGCCCCTGAAGTCAAGTAACAGCAGGCCCTGGGGGATTGGAGCCCAGGTATGGACCGCCAATGGCTGCCTGGGGGACAGCAGCCCAGGAAGGCCTCGGAGCAGGATCCGGAAGTCCCATGTATCCCCTTGTCTAGGATTCAGGCTCTTACTGTGGGCGAGGCCAAGATAGGGGGCTGATATCACCACCTTGCCCTTGGCGGGGTTCCAGATGAGCAGAATGTGGGCCACCCCAGGCCAGGTGGTGGCAGTGGGTACCAGGAAGAGGTCCCTCCGGGAGGCGAGCAGCCCAAAAGGGGGGCAGTGGTGCAGCAGGATGTGTGTGCTGCCCAGGGTGGGGACAACCTCCCCGCTGGGCTCCAGGGTTCTTACGCACACACGGTAGTTGAAAGCTGCTGTAGGCTGCCCTAGCTGGCCCTCAGCTTCCGCCTGACACTCCTCACACCACATCAAGCGGCCTCGGGACGCTGCTACTGCCACCACGCGGGCTCCACCGCTCGGACACAGCTCGGTGCTCTGCAGCAGCCGCCAGTTAGGCCCCACCCCCACGCCCCACACCTCGGCGAGGCCACTCTCCCAGACGAGGACCAGCGCAGGCCGCGCGGGCCACGGCAGGAAGAAAGCATCTAGTGGTTGGGAGTGGCCGGCCGGCCAGGCACGCTCCAGCTCCGCGCCAGACCCACGCACTGCGACCAGCAACTGCGGGGCTGGCGCCCCCGGGGGTCGCAGGAGCAGCAGGTGGCGGCCGTCCGGGCTGCAGCGGACTCGGACAGCCAGGTCTCCGGCCAAGAACTCCCGGAGCCGGGCCGCGCCGCTGAAGTCACTGAGGTCTGAGAGGAGGCGCAGAGTTCCCGCACGCTTCATGGTGCCGCCCGCGCTGGAGGATGACCAGCACCGGCCGCCCCGTGGGGCGAGGCCCGGCTCTCGGTCTGGGTTTTGCGAGAGGTAAAGAGCAGGCTGAGACACTTCCGTCCCTCCTCGATGAGGTGGGCGGAGGCCGGGGCGGGAAATCGACTCTGCCCCGCCCTGCTAGGCTAGCTCAGGACTTGCCCCCTTCACGTCCCAGTGGCGCGACACCGCCCGCCGGGGGAGGAGCCGCGAGAGCATCCCCGGGGGAGGAGCACCCTGGAGGAGGAGCCTCCGGAGCGCGCAGGAATGTCAAAGCGGTAAGACTGCTTTCAAAGCTGCGGGCCGATCCGCTGCCCCAGACTTCAGGAAGCTGTGGAGTGGCCCAGAGTCTGGCCTGGGGATATCACCCGTCGCTGAGCCCAAGACTGAGAGCGTCCCTCTCCCAAGGCTGTTCTCTCCCTCTTAAGCTTTGCTTTCTCACCCCAATTTAGTCTTACATTTATTCATGACATTTTTACTGAGCACCTATTATGTGCCAGACTCTTGAATAGACAGCGGTGAATGAAATAGAAAACTTCAGCCTCATGGAGATGACATCCTAGTGGAAAATAAAAATAGCTAACACTTCCATGGCACTTACTGTCTGACAGTCTCCTGCCCTCCCCATTTACAGATGAGGAAAATGAGGCACAGAGACATTAGGTAACTTGATCAAGATCACACAGCCATTGAGTGGTAGAGGTAGGACGTCAAAGGTAGGCAATCTGGCTCCAAAGTCAGTGCATCAAACCACTTTATTATATCAACAATCCGTCATCAAAATTAAGTTTGCTGACAGACAAAATTAAAATTTACTTTAGAGGCACTGTGTAATGTCTCCAGCAACACCTAAAAATTTATATGAAGTGGCCCTTCTACCCCTTGTCTGCCTTTTCAGGTGGTATAGTATTGTTCCTCGTTCCAAGGCCAGTCGTTCTTGTTCTTCATGAGCCCTGCTTTCCCTCCTTTGCCCTCCCACCTTCCCTGAGGACCTGTATCCATTTCTTTCATCTGCTTCATTCTGTCCTCCTCCTTTCAGCATAGAAATACCTGCTCTGCCTCAGAACTCATGTCTTCATCCTCACCACCCAACCTCCACCCTTATCATTCCCTCTCCCTTTCTTTTCTCAGTCAAGTTTCTTGCAAGGATCGTCTACATTTGCTGGCTTCACTTCCCCTCTTTCATTCATTCCTCAAACCACTACTTCACTGAAATAGCTTTGCTGAGCTTTTCAAGGACATTTTTATTTTCTTTCTGAGACATTTTGACAACCACCTTATTGAAGTCCCTCTTGTGGTTTCCATGGCATCTTCTTCCTCTGGCTCTCTCTCTTAGACAGTACTGTCTTCAGAGTTTTGTTTCCCCTTGGTTCATCTTCCTCTTTTATCCTTTAAATGTGGGTGCTCCATTTTCTGTGCCACCAGTTCCATCCTGGGCCATCTTACCTTTCATGACTTAACCATTACCTCTAAATCAACAGCTCCAAAATCTTTACTTACAGTCCAGATTTCTCTGCTGAGTTCCCATAAAGGGTATCCAAATGCCTATTCAATATTCCTGCCTGAGTATTTCACTCACTCATCTCAACTGCCATCAAGTCAATTCCAACTCATAGTGACCCCCATTGGGTTTCCAAAGCTGTAAATCTTTACAAAAACAGACTGCCCATCATTATTCTGCAGAGCAGCTGGTGGGTTTGAACCACTTACCTTTTGGTTAGCAGCCAAATGCCTTAACCACTACACCACCAAGCTCCTTGGATATTTCACAGGCATCTCAAATTTGGCATATCTTAAACATTATCATCCTGCTTAGATTTGCTGCTTCTCCAGTTGTTCCTAGTTGCTATAGGATTTCTCTCATCTTATATCCTCAATCTTAAGGTAGAGGCTGACACAAAGAAAGATGTTTGGTGAAGAACTGATGTGGACATATGCTTCTGTGTGTGGCATCAGTTGAAAATTTTTTGCTTACCAGTATCAGAAGTAGACCATGGCTATCTTAAATAAAAAATGAAATTTAATAGAAGAATATAAGAGGCTTATACAACCTATAGGAGACAGGAGGAACTGGCTTGGAAAATGAGCAGGAAACAAACCACTCTCTAAAGATCAAGAAAGAGAAAGCATAACTACTTTTCAGCAGGAACCATCCAGCCAGGGTACCAAGGTCTCTGGTTCTACACAACTTGGTCTTTGTTTTGGAGGACACCACTTTTACTAATGAATTCTGACCATCCCTTCATCTTTGTATCTCTTGATCAAGCACCAAAGCCTTAGAGGTGCATCAGAATGGCCAAGCCCAAGTCACATGCCCTCACTCACTCTCGTTGCCCAGGACATGCTTTGCCATCAAGATTGAACCCAAAGATGACACAGGAGGAGAAGGGTTCAATACTGGATAACCAAAACCAGTATGACATAGAGAGCTCAGGTAATTGTCCAAAATCACAGCTAGTAAGAGGCTTTCTAAACTTACTCTAGTCTGAATTTGTATTCCGACTATGTGTAGACAGTGTGTTGTGTGGCTTCACCCTCCTTTCCCTCTTTTTCCATTTCCTTTAAGGTTTAACTCCATCATTATCTTCCCCCAGGAAACCTTCTAAGATTGACATAGAATTTTCTCTTTGAATTCACAGGGCATTTACAACTGAGCCTCTTCAACCCTTCCCTTGATAATTTACTGATTGATATTTTCAAACACTCAGTTGTATATATCTTTATCTATCTATCACTTTGTTACAATGTAATCTTGGGATTGTAATTTGTTTTTCTTGTTACCACTCCCAGGATTGAGCATTAAGTAGGCGTTCAATAGAAGTTTGTTTATAGGAAATCAGGTATAGACCAGGGTTCTTTTAAGTCGAGCAAGGAGTTCAAACTGGTGTTCAGAAACTGTTGGGGTCCATTTCAAGATGGGCATTTATCTTGTCCATCCCCATTCTTTTTTATATTCTATTAGGGTACAACTTTTTTCTGCTAATCATGTCTTATGCTACTGTGTAAGTAGATAAGAAAAATTAAAATCTTCTAAGAAAAAGCCTGAGCACCTGGGTTGTTAAGAGCTTTTTTCCTGATGGGTTCAAACTTTGTTCTATCTCTTACCAATTCTAGAATAATCCCCCTGAATCTTTATTTTCCCATATGTGAAGTAACTACTTCATAAAATAATTACAGGGATTGGATTATATATATATGTATATATGAGCTCTAGTGGTGTAGTGGATAAGGCATTTGGCTGCTAACCAGAAGGTCAGCTGTTCAAACCCACCAGCTGCACAGTGGAAGGAAGACAAGGTGATCTACTTCCCTAAAGAATTATATCCTTGGAAACCCAATGGCGGTTGCTATGAGTCAGAATCTACTCAATGTCAGTGAGTTTTTTTCTTTTCAATATGCTGTTGCTGTTGTTAGGTGCCATCTGGTCAGCTTCAACTTATAGCAACCCTATGTACAACAGAAAGAAACACTGCCTGGTCCTGGACCAGCCTCACAATCCTGGGTATATCTGAGCCCATTGTTGCAGCCACGGTGTCAATCCATTTCATTGGGGTTCTTCCCCTTTTTCACTGACCCTCTACTTCATGATATCCTTCCCCAGGGAATGGTCCCTTCTGACAGCATTACCAAATTAGGTGAGATGAAATCTGGCCATTCTCCCTTCCAAGGAATATTGCGGCTGCACTTCTTCCAGGGCAGATTTGTTAGTTTCCCTGGCAGTCCATGGTACTTTCAGTATTCATGGCCATCACCACAACACAAAACCATAAACTCTTCTTACTTTATACTGTATACCATGTGTTTGTATATACACATGGTATACAGTATAGATACAGTATCGGCATAGGTGCTCAGCACATTTTACTTAATCTTCCATTTTGCGTATGAAAAACTAAGACTCAGGTATTAACGTCAAATTAACACAAGGTGCTTTGCACATAGTCAAAACAAACAAACAAACAAACAAAAAACTCACTACCGTCCAGTCGGATCCGACTCGTAGCAAGCTTTCCTCGGGTTTCTGAGAGGGTATCACTCCAAAGTAGATTGCCCAAACTGCCTTCCAAAGAGTGGCTGGTGGATTTGAACCGCCAGCCTTCTGTTTAGCAGTAAAACGCCTTAGGCACTACGCCACCAGAGCTCCCTTGCACATAGTAGGTATACAATAAACATCTGTTGTATGAACACGTTTGTTTCTAATCTTTCACTAGCACAATGTTGTAATAAACAACTTGGAACACTTTGATCTTCCCAAGTTTCGCCAATGTTTCTAGAGGATATATTCTTTCCTAGGAGTGGAAGTGCCGAGTCCAAAGAGTCTGCCTTATTTATAAAAACTGCTGATGATACTTGAATCCAGTAAGCCCTCAATAAATGTTTCTCTTGCCAATTTCCTTCTCGCGATGCTTTTCGAGAGCTTTCGCAATCTGTAGTCTTTGCGATGCTTGCTGGGAATTGTGGTCTGATCTAGTTCTCGGGAAGCGGGCGTGACGAGCCTATTTCACGCGCGGCCTTTAGGACCCAGAGGGCCACGGCGAGCCGGGGTTGGGGGAAGTCGAGAGCGCGCCCGTGAGCCCGGAGCTGCGGCGGCGTCGGTGGCGTCGGGAGCGAGCGGACCCGGGAGCGGCGCGGGTGGAGGAGGAGGAACCCCGGGTTCGGTAAGCGGCGCCGGCCCCGGCCAGTTCCCAAACCTAGCCACCCTCCGCGGATCCTGCCATACTAGGCCTTTGCCCAGAGGCGGCTCTGTGGGGTGGCCTGGGGGCGGGGCCTCCGTTAGCCAAAAGGACGACGGCGGTGATCGGGGGGGTGGGGACGGCTGCTGAGGCGGGCCAAGGCTGCTAGCAGCGGGGAGGGCTGGCCTGGAGGCGACTGAGCAGAGCTGGAAGTTGCTCGCTCTCCTCCGCAGCGGTCTCTAGGAACACCTGGTGCCAGTCAGGTCCCTCCTGCATCCCGCCCTTGCTGGGCCCGCCTGGGAG